TCCCTGCCTTTCAGCACAACATGAAAATCTTAGCACAAAGAGCTGTGGGTTTAGATGTATAATTGGACCAAATTGTGTGTAATGACCCTGTTTGCTCTATTGTGCCTTTGTTTTCCACCACAGTTTGCACCAGAGCAGGTACTGTGTTTACACTGCAGTCAGGGTGACCTGACTTCCAGCCATGCTGATCTTATTCTTCTCTTAATGGAAAGCGCATGTCCTTTGGAGAGGGCTGAAGTCCACCCTCAGGCAGAGGGCTGCCCCATGCCACAGGTGAACAAGCCTTCTGCCTGCACACGCTCTGCTCAGCCCTTCAGGACAAGGCTGGATTTCATTGCCAGAAGCCACACATGATTGCTAACGTGCTGAGATAAATACAGGTAATGGTTTGGTGGACCGGAGGGTTCAAGAGAATGGTATGCAGGCAGCAGAGTTTCAACCCAAAGGTTACAATTAAACCTAGCCTGAGGCTTGCTGTTTAAGTAAAGCAAGTCTTGTTTAACTGCAGGAAAGTACATCATGTAATAGAAATCTGATTGCGTTGAACAATACCGAATGTAAAGGTTATAGTTTATGGATTAACAACAAGAACTTACGCTATGACCTGGGAACTCATTGCCTGGAACTGACTGAAGGCGAAAAGCGCACACCGGTAGTTAATGATTTGGGGCACCAATGGGATACGGATATGGAAAGACAAGCACACTCCCCGGACGTGCAGGAGAGTGCGTCTGGCATAGAAAGCAAAATCCCCAAGCCACCATACAGGTCACTTGGCATAACCACAGAAGGAATGCAGCCTGTGTGATGTGTCAGAGTTGCTCACTCGCAGGCTGCTGAGGGCGATGGGAAGGAAGGGAGTCTCCTATGGAGGACCGGACAAAAATTTCATCAAAGGCTGAAAGCGAGTCTCAGCTGCTGCAAATACATGTGGGCATCGACACCCTGAAAGGGAGAGAGCTTCCTAAACTGAATAAAATTTCTCTATATGTCACAAGAGAAAATGGATTTGCTTATGGATATCATGTAAAAGGTTTCTATCTGGCAGAGTAGTGATGTTCTGGACCAGCCCAGAGCCTAGTCAGAGTACCAGGTACAAAAGACATAGCTAGCTTTGTGGCAGGTAAGCTGAATCAGGACAAGAGCAGTCTGAGGCAGTGTCTGTGATGGGAGAAGCCAGGATTCAAAGGACATCCGTCCTGATTCAGTGAGCCTGTGGAAGAAATAGAGGCTGAATGGAAAAGTTGTGTAGCTATTCGAACTGGTAAAAAAAAAAAAAACCCATCTTATAAGCTACTGGAACTCTTCTAGCACTGGAAGTAGCCAACCTTTGATCTCATGCTTTTAATGCACTCAATAAAAGACACGATAGCTGCAAATCCTCTCTTATATTATTGCTTACTTGGCTTAAAGGCACATAGTGCTGTCAAGGACATCTCCTGATGGTTACAAGGGGAAAAGAAGAGTGAAGGAAAATGAACGATTTCATGGCAAAGACTACCAAATGCCTTGAAGGGCAGGCAGACAGGAAACATTGACGCTTGGTGCAAAGAGAACTTTAAGGTGACCTTACATGACATGTTTAAAAATAACAGACGTCACTGCACTACACACTGTTCTGTGGGCCTTACACTCTATCCTTCGTCACAACGTGACATATCCCCTACAGCACTACCTAAGTTGCGAGTAACTTAAAAATACAACTAATTACTTTGGAGAAATGGTTAAGTACCCAAATCTTCAGTAGCTACAGGACACTTGCCAATGTTAAAGGCATAAGGTGTGATTCAAGAGCAGAACTTCTCCCCACAGGCCCCCACGCCATCGGTGCTGGGGGAGCCTGTTCGATGGGAGTTGTCAGTGGGACTCTTAGCATTCAGCATTCGTCTTGCCGGAGCACCTGGAGCCCAGGGTGCTTACAGCAAGAGCCTCTTGCACGAAACACTGTCTCTGAACAACAGCAAGTGGGTCCCTGCCTCAGCTGCCTGATAACCGAAAGTGGCAGGCCATACCTGCACAGCTTAGCCTTTTAAAGGTTTCATGTGCCTAAGGGATTTATGGAGGACCAAAGCGCCTGCGAGATTATTCGGCTGCCCAGAGGGCTTTGCAAGGGGACAGAAACTGAAAATATTTTTGCCTTGCTCCCTCGGAGGAACAGCAGGGGAACGCTTTGGCCCTCCCAAGGGGCTGCTGTGCCGACTGCCTTGCCCCACACTGAGAAAATCGGGGCTTGAGTCTGCCGAGAGCGGCACGGCCGTCGCCCCAACATTGGCGCTGGGGCCGTCCCGGCTGGCGGTGCCCTGGCTGGGCCGGGGGTCCCCGGCAGGGCAGCCGGGCTGGGGTCTAAGCCGTGGGGCACCGCAGCAGCCAGCAGACCGTGTTCCTCAGCGGACTGGTTTCGAGGCACCAGAAATGCCCGTGCGGCCCCGCGGGCTGCCGCGGCCAGCTGCTTTCTCCACGCAGCCCGTGCCCCGTTCCCTGGCGTGGGGGTAGAGCCGGAAGAAACAGCAGCTACGAGCTCCCTTAACATTTGAATAGTGAGTCAAAATATACCACACAGCCTGGGTACCGTTTCTCAGGAGCCACGAGGCAATATGGAATGAAAAGATGAAAATAACAGCGTTGGGCCACGGCTTTCAAACACAGGAGTAATTCAGAGGATGCCTCCTGCCACACAGCAAAAAGGGAAAAACGCACGTGCGGAGAATATTTCACGGCCCGTGGTGTGGACGGCCTCTGTTCAGTAAGTACCTGGCTGGCAAGAGAGGGGCCACGCTTCCAGGAACCAGTGGCAAAGACAGCACAAAAAAGCTGACCAGCCAAGAAACCTGACAATTAATTTTTTGTGCAGGATGCGTGAGAAAACTCTCCCTTTCCTGTGGCACATTACCCTGGGTAACAGAGAGCCACCCGCAGCTGCAGGCCCCCTCCATCCGCGGCTGATCTGAATAGACAGAGGCAGACACTGCTGTCACAGAAACGCTGCCGAAAATCCAGACGTATGTGGGGTTACACCGGATTTATTGGCAAATCATGTGTGAGATCAGAATCAGGCCAGCATAGCGCGTCTTATTCATTTGTTTTTTATGATCTAATTTCCTTACTTTAACGCTTTTTTTTTCTCCCACAGCATCTTGAAAGGAAACAAAGAAGTGAGCTAAGATGCCAGTGTCTTAGACTCCTTTAAAGGATCTCTGTTTAATGTTTGCTCCCTAACCTGCTTTCCTTACTGTAAGGTCTCTCCATTACGGTGATTTCGTACGCATGCCAAAGCAAGTTGCCAATTACACTGGTGTTAATGATAAGTGACTCCAAAGAGACTGCCCTGAGAGCAGAATCCGGCCCTTCTTAGCAAAGAGGTTGCTGCGCCAGCTCTGAGCCGAACAATAACCTCATGACTTAAAGCATCTCAGCCATTTTAAGTGTTTTGTTCCCTAAATGCAGAACAGCACTGAGCAGGGGTAGCCAGCGAGCAGCCTTCTGCAAACCACAGATTTCTGTGGCGTGGTCTGCACCTGCCCCGATCATTAGGAAACAGCTCCTGGGGCTCTTCCAGGAGGACTCGAGCCTGCAGAAACCCTTTCTGAGGGACTCTGGCACCTTTCGTGCACGGGGGCAGACACGATGCTGGCAGAGGCAGGGGAGAACAGCACAGCATCTACCTCTTCTCAGGCTGGTCAGTCCCTCCAAGTCACCCTGGTAAATCCATCCTCAGCCCTGTGAAATGATGCTCTTGCAGGTGGTTTTCCCATAGTCTTGGAGTGAGCTCTGGTCAGGGGAGGCTGGCATGGGCTAGAGAAATAGCTAGGGTGGGAGGTCCATGCAGGCAGGACCTCTGTGTTAGATCTGCTGCCTGTGCTCCTACCAGCAGAGCTGGGCTGTGGGCAGTGTGCGTTCCTGGGCTAGCAGAAGCTCGCGAAAGACCCACAGCCAGATCGGCAATATTTCACATTTACTGAGAGGCCCTGCATAAGCTATGGACAACGACTTCAGGAGAGCGGTAGTGTGTGGCTTTTTGAGCAAAGGCACACTACGTCCATCTAATTCACTGGCCGTCTTCTGATTTAGACCTAGCTTTGAATGGTGAGGTGAGGAACTCTCTTATGAGGTGAAATTTTTATAGCTAAGCCACATTTTGTGACAAGCTTCCAGCTTGTCTAAGATCCCTCTGTCAAGTTCCATTTTTCAGGCTCTTTGTGCAAGAAAGATACTTAATGGAGGAACCTCTCTAGTGTGCACACAAGTAAGGAGTAAAGAAGACACAACATGCAATCCATAAATAGAGACACTTTAGAGGCTCGTTAAACATTCACGCTTTTTGCATAATTGATGACTTTCCATAATAGATATGGATGATAAACAGCTTTAAATAAAATGAAAATTTATCAGTGTCATATCATTTATCAGCATTATGTTAAATTGAAAAGTATGGGGAAAATATTATCGTGACTCAAATGAAAACACTTGGCAAATATCATGGAAGAAAGAATAATTTGGAGGGCTGCATCACTGCGTTCATGAGGATTTTATAACGGGACCGCCAACAACAAAGAACCAGCAACAGAAGCCCAGAGCCAAAGGAAGAGCTGCAGCATCCAAATGCAAACCCCTGGCTTGAAGAGGGCAAGAGAATGGATGAAATGTAGGGCACGGGCTGCATAAGAGATGACAGTAGGCAGCACAGCAGCCCCTCAGACCTTAAAGTCTGTCTGCATGTCCACCCCATGAGGTATACGGTAAGAAGAGAGGGGGGAACAGCGGGCAGGCTCTTGCACAAGCTCTCACTTGTCTCCTGTCACATTATATTCAGTGTAGGTCCTAAGACACCTCTGCTGCTCCCAAGGGCTGAGAGCGAGTCAGTTCTCCAGGGTGGGTCATACCATTTAGCGCTAGTCTTCTCTAAGGTAGACAAGTAAGAGTAAACAAATCTCCTAGGCTCCTACTATGCTTTCTGGAAAGAGATGGGCACTTCCAGCAGGAGATTTTTCCCACTTCCTTACCTGAGTCACGCTTTGTGAGATGCCTCCTCCTCTTCGTACCCCATCAGAAGAGCCGGAATGATTAGCTTGCATCGTGCATGCAACTTTCAGGCTTCTGTGGTTAGCTGGGAAGAATCCCACCTCTGAGAAAGACGGGGCTTTCTCAAGGGTTTTTAAGTCACTGCAAATTACTTCAAAATAGGGATGCTCCTGTGTCAGGAAGGTAAACAAAATTTCCTAGTTATAATGGCAATGGGAGTCATGAGGCCTTTTAATATCTCAGGCACAGACTGCTGAGGAATCTGCTTTGCTCTGAAACTTCACATTCCCCATGATTTTTCAAAAATAATTGACAGAGGCTCCGAAGGTCAGCTAATTCTCTCAGGATTCCCCCTACCGCAGTGTGCTTGTGCAGATAGGTTTGATTTTTCCAAGTATTTCCCTATCAGCTTTTTACTGATATCTTTGCTGACAAGGTCAGTCAAAAGACAGACCAAACAACCACACATAACAAACGTTCTTCCGAAAAAGTCAGGAACCATTACAAAATTGAATGTGTTTTTTACCTGCCTGCAGCATTTTAAACCTGGGGATGGAAATCAAGGCTTTCTTGTCACGTGAAATACATACTGTGCTTGTGAAACGAGGGATAATAAGCGCTTTCTCTAGCCAAAGGGCAGACAGACTGTGAACAGCAACCCAGTAAGCAACTTCTCCAGGATATCTCAGCTCTATCAGCGAGAGAGGGTGGCTCAGGCTCCTGGACACATCCGCAGCTGCGCCTTTGACTTCAGCAGTGCTATTTCAGCTTACATAAGCTGCGAGCCTGCCAGCCCCTCCCTAGCGCTCAGAGCTGGGCTCCTCCGTGAAGGCCAAGAGCACAGCAGCAAAGCTTTTACTGCCCAGCCCCAGAATGGGACTGGGATTGATATTACGAGAATAAACGCTATTTATACTTGGAGGTAACAGGAGTTACCATCAATCAGCATGGCTTTAATAGAGAGCAAAGCATCCCAGAGAAACTTCTGTTTGCTCTCTCTCCCTCTCTTTTTTTTTTTTAATAAAATTGCAAAGCCTGTCCCTGACCTCTGTTGGGCTTTGCTCCTCTGGCTCCTTTGAGGCCCATGAGGCATCCTACTGACTTCACTTACCAGGGGTTTGTGCCAGCAGGTCCTTCGGCAGGACTGGGGCCCGAGAGAACAAAACAGCCAGCCCAGCAGGCCTGGCTCGGAGCAGCAGAGCTGAATTCTTGTGCAATCTTCCTTGAAATGAATTCAAGTTGGCTGGGAGCAGAGCATTTGCGCATGGCCTGAAAGCTGGATCGAGTACTATAAACAAAGAGAAACAAAAAGAGAGAGCTAGCACTGTATCCCACTGCGAGGGGTTTGGCCAGCGGAATAACGCAGGCATCTGACCTAGGCCAAGCGGTGCTGAACGCTGTGACGAATGCCTGCGGGAAGCAGGGGCGCGGCGCGAGAGGTCCGGTCTGTCAGGGACCCTGTGACTGGGACTCCCTCTGTCGTCAGTGGGAGCACTGGGTGGAGGTGCTAGCAGCTCGATCGCACAGAGTGCTTTGTGCTGAGGAGCTGCAAGCACAGAGACACAAGAAAAGAGAAATATGTTGAGGAGACAAGAACAAAATAGGCATATGATCACAGAAGCCTGCCCCTCTGCAGCAAATGCAAGCAGGCTGGAGAAGAACAGGGAAACACCCCGGCTTCCCATGTGCACCTCCAAGGAGGGGCACTAAGGAAGACGTACAGATGACAATCATCAGCTGCAGATTGCAGCTCCCATGCAGCGTAAGGGGTATTCACATCGTTTCACCGTACCTCCTGTCAGGGATCTGGTCTCTCCATAAAGGTGATGGCGGGAAGGAGACTGCTCTACTTTAGAGGCTCCTAGGCATATAAGTTGGGTCAATCCAGTTATTTTGACTGCACAGGAAGTATTTAAACCATCCCGCTCAGCGCTCAGGCACCCAGCTACTAGACAGCCTTCAAACGCATTGGTGATGCTCCCTGGGTGGACAAGACCAACACAGTCCCACTTGCGCTGGCCCTGCAGTTCACCCTTTCAGAGCTGCACAGAGCAGTCCCTGCACCCAAGCCTCTTGTAAGCTCCTCTGCAGGGAGCATGGCCAACAAAAAGGCTCTGTGTGGCCAGGGTATTTCTATGCCTCAGCAGTCCTACTTGGCTAGAACAGCCCCTTTGGACCATTAGTAGTCAGTGTGAAATAGAGCATCCTTCCAGCTGCTCTCTCTGGTGCCAGCCACTGAGCTCACGCTCGCTGGCCCAGAGCTGGAGAACCTCAGAGCTGTCAGAGAGCCACCTCTGCTGCTCTCCGAGCTGAGCACTAGCCACCGCTCGGCAAACCCAGGCAGATGGGAGTCTGAGCTGCGTAATACACAGAGCCTCGTCCCCACGCCGGGAAGCTCTCTCCACCCAGGGCTAGTTAGACCGTGTCTGGCAGGCTCAGGCGGATAGCAGACAGAGAGCAGCAGAGACAGGGGGAGTCACAGGGCAGCCAGTAAATTATTAGAGGATTAAGGCTGAGTGATGGAGAAAGTGAAAAGAGCTAAACGCATATAGTTCGGCTAAAAGAAGATGGCTGGAGAACACCTAAGTCCATAAGCAGCTGGCACGTCCAGAAACAGGCCAAGAGAAGAATAGCTGAAACCAAACGCAGGGTGAAATGCACTTCCCAACAGCAAAGTGCATTAGATAGTGAGGGAGTTTCCCAAAGGAAGCCCCATCACTTGAATCACTGGAAACTAGGCTGGACAAAATTCTGGATAATATCCAAGGGGGGATAGCTCCACATCAGCAAGGAGCGAGAGCAATGAATAAGATGAATACCTGGGCCTTTTCCATCTCCATAAATCTATCTATCTAATGCACTCACTGTCTTTCAATGTCTGGAAAAAACCAAAAGAGAGTAAGTGCCTTTCCTTTGCCATCAGCACATTTGACGCACAGAGCAGGCTGGCCGGAAGCCCGGGGCAGGGGGCATGGTGCCATCCCCGTTGGCGCCCTAGAGCAAAGCAGGTGAGAGGCTTGAGCCATCCTCTCACGGAGGGGCAGCCCTGCGTCACCAGCCCTGCAGGCAGGAGCAGCTCTGCGGTCTCCCTGCCCCTAAGCACTGAGACAAGCCCTGAACCCATGGCTAGGCCTGACCCAAGGTCTTAGAGGCAGCGGAAGACCAGAGCAGCCTCTGCTCTGCTTTGCAAAGTACTTCCCAGGCTATGTCTTACACGTGTGAAAAAGCTCTGAGAAAGGCTGACGCTTGCCTTGTCTCCCTCGGTACGTTTGGGCCAGGCACTAGTGCAGTCTCTCAGCATCAGCATCAGATGAGGAGAGCAGGTAAGGGTTACACAGGGAGCCAGCCAGCCGCTTCAGGAAGGAGTGAAGCAAACTGCATTAGGACGAGCTGCCAGGGGAAGGCACTTTTACGGTAGTGAGCTCATCGATCCATTTATGATTAAGTCCCAGCTCTTGTACAGCATTTTTTATGCAGAGCTGGAAGTACGCTAGCAAGGCAGAGGAGTATTGCTACGGGGTTAGGCACAGCACCTGGCACCACGTCCTTTGCTGAGACACTGCAGTTACGGGGCTTTTCTCCTTTGGCTCCTTTTGTTGTCCATGAGGAGGGGAACTTGTGGAGGGAGACAGAGCCGGAGCCCTAGCCCCAGAGCTGCCCACTGTGGCACATCTCTTCCCATCAGGCTGTGGAGAGAGGCTAGGGACAGCAGGCACCCGATGCGGGGCCCAGACCTGCCTGGTGTCTATATCCCTCCTGTCCTTTTAGAGAGCAGCAAATGGAGGCGGGCAGCTAAGTCACATCGGGGTCGGTGTTACAGCAATTTAACTTCTTGGTGCCATGTTTTTCCCATGAAATCACAGAGCCTCTGACGATTATATCCCTGGGAAAGTACACCCAGCCTGTCTGGCCCACCTCCCTCCGCAGGGGCACCCGCAGACATCCCACCTTCACGGACATTGTGGGGCTTTGTCTGCAAGGAGGGCAGGGGCCAGTGCCCACCCTGGCATAGCCACTTGCGGCATTACAGCCTCTCTCCTGACAGCTGATTCTGTAATTATTTGCTTACCATTAATTACTAATTAATTCTTGGGAGTTCTGTTATTAACAGGTAGACCAGGGCTGGCATGGCTACAGCCAGACACGCTGCCTAGTAGAAGTGCATACCTCATCACGGTGCAAGAAGCTACTGAATTTCAGGCCATTGTCTAGTTAACCATTAACAATTCATAAAATTCCAGGTCTCTGCACAATAAGCACAGTCCTCCAAATGCTATTAGAAAATCCTATTTCTAGTCTGTTATGAAACAGAGGTTTTGATGTGCTGCCAATTTTTATGTGGAGCTCTGGAAACAGAACACTTGCTGCACTGTAAGCCTTCGACTGAGCGGCTCTTACATAAAGCTTTCCTAGCAACCCATGTTTATCGTGTATGGGGGTGGGGGGGCTGTCCATCCATCTGTGTGTGTGCGGTGGAAAAACTGAGTGACCCAGTGAAAAACTGGACCAGCCAGCTCTTCCCATTTGTGCAGTGCTGACAAACATTCAGTGGTTTTGCAAAGCAGAAAGTAAAAGCAAACAATGGAAAAATCCTATATGCTTTGCTATATATCTACAGCATGGTACGTAGCTGAGATGCGCACAGATGCAGGTAACTGTGTCTATATAGACAGCTTGCAGATACACACACGAGCACAAATCCTAGATGGGCAGCTTTTTCATCAGTGACTAATCGCTCATTTAAAGCACACAATCCCCTTCAGGCCTCTTCCACTGGTTTCTTGTAGGCAGTGATAAAAGGAAGCAAACATCACATCCTGCAGTCCCCGCCAAGGAAAACACGAGCGCTCCCGCGAAGGAAGCCTATTTGAAGAAAAGGGATGCAGCCCTTGGGCACAGGCTGGCTCCGACCTCCCCGCAAAGGGTTGTCACATTCTTTATTGGAGGTGGGAGGGGGGAGCAGGACGGGCCGTTTCTTGGTTATTGCCCAAATTCCCCAAACATGATACCCCTCAAGGCTCTTTTGACAGTGGGGAATGGAGCATTACTGCTATTTAATTGGCAAAGAGGAGAGGTGGAGAGAGGAAAATGCCTAGGAGTGAACAGACACTTAGAAGCAGAAAACTGGTCTGGACTTTTGAGGGAGAAGACAGAAAATTCAGTGGTTTCTTCTGCTTATCTCTCCCCCCCGACCCTCCATGACCAGCAGCAACTAAAAACTCTCCTAAACAAAGTCCTTAGTGTGGAAAGGAGCAAAGGAAAAGCATGGGGAAGACCGATGTGAAGGAAAAGCACGCTACGTGCCCAGGGCCAAACCTCCCTCGAGGCGCCGAGCCGTGCTGTGGGTCTGATCCAGCCTTAGCCTCATGGGTATTGCACTGATTTCCAGCTCCACTGACACCGAAAGCTCCGTGGTACATGTATATATAATGAATCATGCCATCAAGCTTTTTTTTTTTTTTTTTTTTTTTTTTTTAAAACGCACAACCCCTTAAACCAAAAGCTTCTTTAGG